GACAATGACAGCAGGGCCAGCGATCTCCTTGGCCACGGTGCCTGTGAGGACGTACAGCCCGGAGCCCACCATGCCCCCAATGCCCAGCAGTGTCAAGTCGATGGTGGAAAGGCATCTGTTGAAGGATGTCTCCATCATGTCATCCTCCAGGGTCTTCACTCGGTTGAGTTTCTGGCAGAAGCGGGTCAGGTCGGTGGAGCGGGGCAGCCATCTCGCCATCGTGGAGGCAGTGGGCCCTGCCTTCGGCACGGCAAGAGGTCCTCAGCAGTGAGACCCTGCCTGGAGACCTGGCAGAGGGACAGGAAGGGGTGAGCATCCCCTTGGCAGGGAGGTATCAGGTTCTGGGGAGAGGGTAGAAGAGCCACTGGGCACATTCCAGGTGTCCCTCACACCTCAGCCAGTGTGGGCCTCAGCATGGAGCACATCTTCCTCCAGGGTGGTGGCACAGGACAGGGACCTGTGCCTGTGTGCAAGGTGGGAAGGAAATCACACCACTCCCAGGGCAGCATCTCCCAGTTAAAGCCCAAACCAGTCTGCTCTGGCCCTGATGAAGGTTTCCTTGCTGCTTCTCCTCCACCTTATCCAATATCTACCTGATCTTCACCCTGGTGTGCCGGGAACCCACCAAGGGGCCACGCAGAGTCTCCCTCCTCCCAGGATCCCACTGATGCCCCAGGGAAAGCCCAGACAGGCTGCAGGGACTGCAGCAGGAAGTCCAGAGCAGCTCCAGTGAGGACGTGGGAGTCCCCTGACAGACCAGGAAACAGCAGCATCAGGGATCAGCCAGACTGGCAGCTTGCCACCGTGACAGTTGGAGGACGCAGCTCTGGGGACCTTAAGGTGCTGCTTCCTGACTGCTTCACAGGCAGTCGGTGACTTTGGGGATGCTCTCCCCTCCCAGCTGCCCTCTCCTGCATGCCAGGAGATGTGTCCCCCTCCATCCCCAAACCACAGGTCCTGCTCAGAGGGCTGGTGCAGCCCCGCTCCATAGGTCCACCTGTCCCAGAGGCCAAAAGGTCCTGGAAAGGCCAATGGGAGATGACGGAATGGCACTGGCCCATGAGGACAACAGGCACAATCCACGCTGGCTGGGATTCCCCAGCCCTGCTGAGACTCCGCATCCCTGCACGCCTGGGTCCCCGCGACTGGAGGGGTTGGCAGTACTGGGATCCCCAACCCCAACACCCCCAACAGGCGCAGCACACCCACGGGGCAACGGAGCATCCCCGGGGCCCGGGGGGTGGTCGCAGGTGGGAATCCTCGGGTTGGGGAGTGATCACGGGTGGGGGAACCCGGCTCGAGAAGGAGTGTGGGGGGTTCCGGATTCATCCTGGGCGGGGAGAGGCGATAGTTTCGCCCCTGCTCAGCCCCGCCGCGATGCCGGTCCCGGGCGGCGCCGAGCCCCGCTCCCGGCCGCGCTCCCACGGGACGCTCCCCACGGTCCCGATGCCAGCCCGGCTCCCGGTGCCAGCGGGCCCCGCTCACCTGCGGGCGCGGGCAGGGCCCCGCGCGGCTCCGCTCCGGCCCCGGCCCCGGCCCCGGCCCACCTGCTCCGCCGCCGCCGCCGCCCGGCTCCGCCTCCCCGGGCCGGCGGAAGGGCGGGGGCCGGGCGGGGCGGGGGAGCGCCCGGGGCCGCGAGAGCTCTACCGGCGGCTCTGGCCCCATCCCCTGGGGTGTTTTCCCCGCAGCGGGGAGCAGAGGTTGGGGGCATCGGGGCTGCACCCCCACGCCCAGGAAGGGGCTGACACAGGGGGTCCCCAAGGCGCCAGGGTGGGCATTCCCACGGGGGTGTGTGCGGGGCCGGAGCCACACGGAAACGGGGCACAGGGTGGTTACGGAGGTGCTCCATCCAGAACTGTATCCAGCAGAGGAGATTTAGGATAACTGCTCCATCATAGAATCCTGGAATGTTTTGGGTTGGAAGGGACCTCAAAGTTCATCTCAAGCCTTCCACTGCACCAGGTTGCTCCAAACCCCAGCCAACCTGGTTCAAACATTTCCAGGGATGGGCCTGGAGCCCCTCTGGAAGAGCTGGGGATGTTCACCTGGAGAAGAGAAGGCTCCAGGGAGACCCTTCCAGTGCCTAAAGGCGCTCCAAGAGAGCTGGAGAGGGATTTGGGACAAGAGATGGAGGAACAGGACAAAACAGGGAATGGCTTCAAATGGGCAGAGGGCAGGATTAGATTAGATGTTAGGAGGTAATTCTCTGTGACGATGGTGAAGCCCTGGCACAGGTTGCCCAGAGAAGCTGTGGCTGCCCCATCCCTGGAAATGTTTGAACCAGGTTGGCTGGGGCTTGGAGCAACCTGGTGCAGTGGAAGGCTTGAGATGAACTTTGAGGTCCCTTCCAACCCAAAACATTCCAGGATTCTATGATGGAGCACTTATCCTAAATCTCCTCTGCTGGATACAGTTCTGGATGGAGGAAAGGGCTGAGATCCTGCTCCTCTGCCTCTACTCACTCTGCTCTGGAGCTGCTGCCCAGAGGACAGACACCCCCCCTCCATGCTCAGGTGTTTGTCATGGAGAAGCAGATGTGGTGTGGGGAAAGTGGCTGGAGGGGCAGCAGTGGAAGGGAAGCTCCTGAACAGGCCCATCCAGCTCACAGTCCTGCTGCCCAGCCAGGGCCTGGGCAAGAGCACAAAACCTGAGCAAAAGCTTGTGTGCTTCCACCTGGCTCTCTAGTGAAGGGAAATAACCTCTCTCCATCTCTAAGTTAAAAGGTGTTTCTTTTCCAGAAGTGCTTCACCTCCACTTGAACCAACACAAACCTTTTGCCTCTCCAGCCTCTCGGGGCAAGGAGTTTCCCAAGCAGTCACCTGTCCCACCCAAACCTACTGTTACAGGTGTCCTGCAATGCTCCCACTCCTCTGTTTGTAGAGAGCGAAGTTCCTCTCCATGTGTGATATATAGTTTTATCTTTACCCTGTTTGCTCTTGGGCCCCTTGTCAAGGATAAAGAAGTCCAGCTCAACTGGAAGATGTTCCAGAGCCCTGGTGTCACCAGGGCCTTTGCAGGGCCTGTTCTTGGGGTGCCCTTCTTGGGGTGAAGGGATCTGCCTTTGAGTGCTTTGCAGCAGCAAGATGTTTTCATTTTCTTCTCTGATCCCCTCCTTATGTCTCATCTGATTTTTGGATGGCATCTGAGCACTAAAGCTGACATTTCCATGGACCCAGCAGTCATCACCCCAAATGTCACCATGGACAACTTAGAGCCCACTGTGCAACACTGAGGGCTCCTAGCTGAATACATTCACTCTTATCCACACTGAACTGACCTCCTTACGTGGAGGGGACCTTGCACTCCTCCTTGTCAACCCAAAGTATAGGAAAAGGAAGCAGAAAACAACCTGTCCTTTCCTGCCACCCCTCACTCACCTTCCTACAGCTCCTGAGTGAACACAGGGCTGGCATGGGGCCACACCTCTCCTGTCAGTCACCCTGTACCTGAATGGGGAACTCCTCTGGTGCATCCCCTTGCCACGTCACTTCTGGCACACGTGGAGCCCTGGGCAGGAACTTACGGTCCAGTCTGTGGGTGGCTGAACCCAGCAAAGGGGGCCCCAAATATATGTTCCTGGGGCACCGGCCAAGAGCTTGGGGGCTGCACAGGTCACTGAACCAAGGAGCTGAGACAGCTGAAGCCCAGTAATCTTTGGCAGCACTTCCAGCCCCTTTGGGTAGCTCTCACCAGGTCTTACCCGTGTCACTGGCAGTGCCACAGCTTTGCAGTGGGATGGTGTCACCCTCTGCTGACACAAACAGCACTTGCTTAGAAAAATATCTGTATTCTCCGTGTCGTACTGCCCAGCTTCGGGGGACTGAGGAAGTGTTCATCTGCTTAAACCCTGCTGATCCGATCATGAGCCATCCCAGGGGCTTTACTCTCTTAGGATAACGCCACCCAACAGTTACCACCACTGACCCCCTGCAGCTCTCTACCTCGACAAAAAGCCCTTCTGAAACCCAACCTGACCATAGGCATGGAAAATTTCAGCTTGGATCCAATCAGCTGCCTGGCAGAGCCATCCGCAGCCAGATGGTGGAAGCAGGAAGCCCGAGAGCTGCTGTTGTCATGGCAGTGCTGGAACAGCCGCCGTGATCCCCAGCACTGGCTGCTCCTGGAGAGACGGCAGCAACCAGCAATCCCGGATCAAGGTGGGCTCCGGTCCTTGCCCCAAAGGGCAGCGCAGTGGGGCTGAACCCACCGGCAGTAACCCCAATCCAAGCTTCTCCAGCCACACCATCACTCTGCTGCTGCTCCAGCGATTCCAGAGCACTCGTGTCAAGGAAGGGGAGAACTTCTAGGAGGCAGCATGACCCCCAGCATCTGGGCATCCTTTCCTGCGATCATTCATCCCTGCTTTCCTCATCCTCACCCTGGGAAGCACTTTCCTTGCTAATAGCTCTGGCCACGAATCTGAACACGGATGTTGACTTCACTTGGTCAAGTACTAGCGACTACCATGTATTCCCAAGGACGAATAAGGTGTCTCCAGAGGAGAATGTTGTCCACCTTGCCCGTCACAATTTCAGCAGTGAGTGCAGGGCTCCCATCTGAGGATCCAGTGGCAACAGTTCCAGGTGGTTCGTGGGGACCCTGCAGTGGTGCAGGACCCACACCAGTCCACTTTCCAGCTCAGAATTTTCGTTCAGGAGGTGGAGACCCCATACAAGCAGTGGGTCTTGTCTCCAGCTGCTGAACCATGGTAGCATCATCCCCATGGGGGAGGGAACAGCCACCCATGATGAAAATGAGAAGGGGTCTCAGTTCTGAACTTCCAAAAGACTCATTGGTCCTTGTAGCTCAGATCTTCCATGTGTTTGTCTTCTTCACCACCAGCTCCCCCCGCAAGTTCTTCCAACACCCTGAAAGGTCTCAGAAACACTCCAGGTTCCTTCCCCGCTTCCATCTAGCACACCATGAGCCCCATACTCCTCACTGGGGATGGGACAAACCTAATCATAACCACTGGCATTCAGAAAGCTGCAGCCCCAGAAGGCAGGGCAGAGCCTTTTATTTCTCTCCATTTGGAAACTGGTTTAAAGGAACAAAGCAAAAGCTCTCCAACCTTCTCTGCTCTGTGAGTCAGTGGGAACACTGCTAACATTAGTCCAGTAACACTGGGTGAGGCGTGAAATCCTCCTTTAATACAGATGATACTGGTACCTGCCTGGAGGAGGGTCTGTGAAGGGTCTGCATGTCTAAGAGGCTGTTTCTGCTTCAACCACACACAGAAGCATCTTCCGGTAGATAAACTTTTTCCCCCAAGTTTAATTCATCTAAACACAGGGCCACTGCCACACGGCAGGTCTGGGTTTGCTGCCTCGGCTGGTCCAGCTCTGGCTCAGTAATGGCCTCAGCTACACTGTAGGATGTTCGTGGCAGATGAACATGCTCCATCAGCTCCCAACTGAGCCAGATGCAACGGACACCTTGCTCTGATGACCAGAGAGGCAGCCCGAGGCTCCCAACCCCCCTGTGCTGGGCTCTGCTCACCCCAGCTCTAATCTAAGCGCCCCAGCGAGTTCTTCTATACCCACAGCCTCTTCCTGACATGACACAAAGCAAATGCATGGACAGTTTGTCCTTTAGAGGGAAGTCAGGAAAAACTTTGGAAAGTGAATAGCAGGTTTGCTCCTTCAGTAAAAAGCTTTCTCGGCCTCAGCTTCCTTCTGCTGCAACTTCCGAATCAGCTCCAGCAAATTCATCTGTAGAGTCAGCTCCTGCAAAGGGAAAGAGACATTTCTATAAGATGATCCCATTACCTGCTACAGGAAGCAGAAAGGACTGGCTTATACTCACCCCTCAAGAGCTACACATTTTAAGGGAACAAAAAAAACCAACCAGGCAAATAGAAACCAAAGGCTTCATTGTGTTTAAGAGTTTCTCTAGAATATAGAGCAGTAACATCTTAGCAGACCTGCTGCAAACTGTGGCTGTCTTAGGAATCCTAGGGCTTTCAGATTCCTTAAGGATTCAGAAATGCTCTTTCTTCTTCACTGTGATAAATGTGTAAGGGCCATGAGGGCTGGCCAGTTCCGCAGGCTGAGTAGGGGCAGTAGCATCCCCTTGCACCCACACAGCCACATGCCCCAGAGGATGTTCTCCAAGTTCCTCCCCTCCTCCTTCAGCAGCATCTCCAACTCCCTGACCCTTTCCCAGCACAGAAGGGCGGGAAGACGAGGGATCGCTTTGGGTACCCTCTAAGTGGGGTCCAAGCCAGGTGCAGCACATGGCTGTGCCAGTGCATCAAATTCCCTGCAGGCATTTCATTCCCCATCAAAAACTCCCTTTTCCATGACTGAAATCAAGTGGAGACACCATCTCCTGTAGTCACCATCATCAGCTTATGGTTCTTTTACCATTTGCTCCTTCTTAGTTATGTTTATCTCAGAGATGACACAGTGGAGCTGCTAATTCGTAAGCCCAGGGCTGTGACTCAGCCCTGCAGACATGATGCTATGAAAATAAAAATCTGTTTTTGTAAAAATACATCCACTGCAAAAGCAGGCATTTCATACAGACTGGGAGGAAACACATCAGCTGATGGGAACCGTGTAGAGAACAGATTCCAGCAGGGATTTCTTGGTGGCATTCACAGGCACAAACCAAGATCCGGGTTGGGTTTGGCACCTATCCTAAAAGCAAACATACACAAACCCAGCAAACAGGAACCCTGCTAAGGGTTATTACTTACAAAAACAAAATAAAAGGCAGGGCAGGAGGGCGAGAAAGGGCTGCCTGCATTATACAGCTGGGGAATAGCAGCACAGGGAAAATGAGAGGCTTATTCAAGGCTCCACGATTGGGAATCGTGTGGGTGGGTGTTAGAAAAACGCCTGTTTCGCTTTGTTTAAGCTGTCTTTTCTCACCAGTAGGTCTTTATCTAACTGACATTTAATCAGCTGAAAAAACAGAGTTAAGAACAGCCTGTTTCTGCGTTCCCTGCTAACTTGTGTGGCTTTACAACAGGACTTGGGAAGTTTGAGTTTTTTCATTCCTGTGGTGGCATAAAGACAACAGGGACAAACTCAGGTGATTGCTCCGATGTTTTGAGAGCAAATGCACTGGGGAAACTAGGAACAATTCTCTAATCACAGTTTGAGATCATCAGCTCCAGCAAGTCACATGCAAGAAGGAACAAGGTGCCTAATAAACAGACTCCTGAAGCCAGTTTGTACAGTTAAGCCGGATACAAAAACAGTAAATCACTTATTTTCGTGTTATTCAGACCCATTTGAGAGTCACAGGACCGCAGGCTGTTGGCACAGTGTTTCTTCCTTCTACACTGGGAAAAATACTGCAGGAAGTTGGGAATGCTGCCCAGTGGTACCTGGGTTTCTGCTCCTTTGTAACAAACTCGGTAAGAGGTCTGCCCAGGGCACATCACCCACCAGCTGGGAGGCAAAGGACAGATCGTTCTGTCTGACCCAGAGATCCACAATACATTAACAGTGAGCTTCTTTTTTAAATTAAAGATATTAGCCCAAAAGTACTGTCAAACAGAATCATGGAATGGTTTGGGTTGGAACAGACCTTAAAACTCGTCTCATTCCGTCCCCCTGCCATGGGTAGGGACACCTTCCACTAGACCAGGTTGCTCCAAGCCCCATCCAACCTGGCCTTGAACGCTTCCAGGGATAGGGAAGCCACAGCTTCTCTGGGCAATTGTGCCAGGGCCTCACCACCCTCACGGAAGAATTTCTTCTCAATATCCCATCTAACCCTGCCCTCTGGCAGTGGGATGCCATTCCCCCTTGTCCTGTCACTCCAAGCCCTTGTCAAAATACCTCACCCTGAACACCTACCTGTGGATTGGTGGTGATGTAGAAGCCAGACACCCCAGCCTTCTCCAGGGTGCTCTGCTGGTCGATCACTTTTTGGTCCAGCTCTAGGACTATCTTCTCATCCATCATTCGCTGTTCCTCTCGGATCTGTTGCTCCATAGCCTGAAAAACACAACAGTCAATGGAAAAAAGTGGAACATCTGCCTTCCTCCTGGCTTCTTCTCATCTCTAACACTTTTACTGAAACCCAAGGGCAATCCTGAATCCTAATGAGCCCAGTGACTGCAGTGGTCAACCCACACAGCCCCAGGTCTTACCACCTCCACCTGCAAAGCTCCCAGTCAAGAAAATGCAGGGAAGTCATGGGAGCAGCCTGCTCTCTGTGTGTTTGGAGATCAGGAAAGAGCACAAGGAACCAACCAGTGCCCAAATGACTTTTCCTGATGAGCCACTGCCTGAGCTATGGCTGAGCTCAGTCCAACAACTCAAGTGAGGCTAAAGGGAGACATGGAGGAGTAACACAGGCCACTGAAGCTCATCAGAGTGCCAGCTCGAATGCCTCCCAAAGACTCCCTGGACACTAACACGGAGCTGGAGCTGTAAATCTCACCCAGATCCCATTTATTCACGAAAAAGTCTGAATGCCGGGGCTCTATTTTTGACAGACTGAGAACATTAGCAAACAAGGACTTTGCCAGAATAGCTCCAACCAGAAGGACACTGCCCCTCCTGCCTCGCCAACATCTGCCCAAACCTCAGCAGAGAGAAGAAATGGAGCCTAGCAAACGTGGATGCCAAAGGCACTCCAGAAATCGGGAGCGGAAGCAGAGAGCAGGAGGACTGCAGGAGATGAGCAGAGCCCAGCTCAAATAAACACCTTTGTGTGTGCACAGGCAAGGTGATACACCCTCACCAGGTGCACTGAGCAGCAGAATTCCCTAGCAAGCCACACAGAAAATCAGGAATCATCACATTCTATCAAAATACAATGGCAGTCTCATTCTTCTAGGGTGAGCAGGAGGGTGAGGGGGGGGATTCTGCCCCTCTGTTCTGCTCAGGTGAGACCCCACCAGAGCTGCCTCCAGCTCTGGGGAACAGCACAGGAAGGACGTGGAGCTGCTGGAGAGAGTCCAGAGGAGGCCACGGAGATGCTGCCAGGGCTGGAGCCCCTCTGCTCTGGAGCCAGGCTGGGAGAGCTGGGGGGGTTCACCTGGAGAAGAGAAGGCTCCAGGGAGAGCTGAGAGCCCCTTCCAGGGCCTAAAGGGGCTCCAGGAGAGATGGAGAGGGACTGGGGACAAGGGATGGAGGGACAGGACAAGGGGGAGTGACAGGACAAGGGTCAGATGGGGTAATGGGAAGAAACTCATCCCTGTGAGGGTGGGGAAGCCCTGGCACAGGTTTCCCAGAGAAGCTGTGGCTTCCCCATCCCTGGAAGTGTTCAAGGCCAGGTTGGACAGGGTTTGGAGCAACCTGGGCTAGTGGAAGGTGTCCCTGCCCATGGCAGGGGTTTAGAACAAGGTAATTTTTAAGGCCCCTTCCAACCCAAACCATTCCATGATTCTGTGATTCTCCTGCAAGAAATAAATGGCTCAGGTTTCAACATTTCAGTCATGCAATGCTGCCCCTATATAACACAGAACAGAGGCATGTGTTCAGCTGGAAATATCCATGAGGTTAAATTATCCTCACTGCACAGAAAGGGAGAAGTCACAAACCCCGGGATTTCCTACACCAGTGGCTGGTGATTTAACAGACCTGGGAGGGGAGCTGAATGCATCCACGCTGCCACAATTCCTGGAGAAAATCCAGAATTTGAGTGACAGAGATCTCAACCACAAACAGTGTGGGAAAGAGCTGAGGTGTGTCTGAAGCATGGATGTATCCATGGCTCTGCAAAAGGCCTGACCTAATGAAGAGCAAGAGCTACTTCTTGGAACCTTTCCTGGATGCAATTAGCATGTCACAGTGAGAGAGTTTCACAAAACCACCTGCTGTTAAGGAGGATGCAGGACTTGGATCCACCAGAAGATGATCCTACACCATCTGCTCCAGAGAAAACACGCAGGGTAGGACCTTATTGGAATAAATGGGAGGAAACTCAAAACAGCTCAAGCCCCAAGAGAAGAAGAAGCAGAGTGGTGACTGTTCCTTTGCTACGGGATGCTGAACCACCTAAGCAAGCTCTGTCCTGACACTTTCTTCAGTGCAGGGGTTCATGCCCTTTGCAGGAGATACAATGGATTCACATCCCTTGTTCCCCAGATTTTCCTTCCTCCCAGCCAGCTCAGTGTGCTGCCCACACCATCCTCTCCTCCACTTACTCTGCTGGAGGAGTGACTTCCCTTGGGCCTGAAAAAACCCCAAATTTAAGTGTCTCACACTGTTTTAGAGTTGGCATCTGATTCTGGGTTATAGAAAAGTGCCAAATCTTGAAGAAAACTGAGGCTTAAACACAAGTTTTGCTTCAGCTCTGGTGACTGATGACCCTGTACGATGGGCAAAGCTTTTCTAAACACCGCAGGTTCTACTGAGAAGCCAAACATCTAAACCCTACACCTTGTATTACCTCCCCTGTGCTAGCAAGGCCAGCCAGGACGGCTGGCGGCTCCCAAGGCTGCAGGGTGGGAATAGTCAAACCCTCTGGAGATGCTGCGGTGCTCCTGCAGCAACAGGGCTGTGAGACCCCCAGGAAGGGACACAGGTCTGCATCCGGCCCCCCCACCTCCATCTCCCCCACGGCCCCACTCACCTCCATCTCCCCCACGGCCCCCCCTCACCTCCATCTCCCCCACGGCCCCCCCTCACCTCCATCTCCCCCACGGCCCCCCCTCACCTCCATCTCTCGCTGCTGGGCGGCGCGGAGCAGTGGCAGGTTGTGGGGCCTGCAGCACTGCTGGGCCTCCTTGTGCCGGTGGAACAGCTCCTGCTTCAGCCCTGCCACGGGCACGGGGGGCTCAGGAGGGCACGCTGCTGCCAGGTCCCCCCCAGTGCCACCCCCACTTCCTCCCAGTGCCCTCCCCACAACCTGCCCCCCCTGCGGTGTCACTCCCCACAGTCCCCTTGTGCCTTCACAACCCAGCCCCCAGAGCTCTCCCCCGCGCAAGGCACCCACACCCTGCCTCGCCAAGCTGTCACCCCCACCACCCCTCAGTATCCCCAGAACCTGACCCCCGTGTCCCCCCCCTCCAGTGCCCTCACAACCTGCCCTCTCCGTGTCACCCCCCACCTCACAAAATGCCCCAGGCCCGTCTCCCACCGCAGGGTCTCCGCCGCCTCCCTGCAGTGCTGCCCCCACTGCTCCCGAGCTGACCTCCAGTGTACCCCCGTGCCCCAGGACCGCCCCGCTGTGTCCCCCCGCCCCAGCGCCGCCCTCCTTCCTCCCGTGTCCCGGGATCGGCCTCCGGGTACCGCGGTGCTCGCTGTGCAGCTGCCGCCGTTGGCTGTACAGGTTCTTCTCGGTGAGGTGCTGGATCTCCAGGAGCCCCTGCACGATCTCGAACACCGTCCCGTCCAGCAGCGCCAGCGCCAGCTCGGAGAGCGTCGTGTACGAGAGGCGCTGCTGGCAGGGGCTGCGGGAGCGCACCGGGTCAGCGCGGGCGCCGCGGGCAGCCCCCGCCCCCGCCGCGCCGGGCTTACCTGGGCAGCGCCTTGACGAGCGCCTGCAGCTCGGCCAGGAGCCGGCGGTGCCGCTCCTGCTGCCGGGACAGGACGTGCTGCGGCTGCTCCTGCTCGGCCCCCAACCCGCCGGGCCGCGCCATGGCCGCCCCGCCTGCCCTCTGCGCCTGCGCGACCCGCCGCGCGCCGCCATCGCCCCGCCCCTCGGAATCCGCCAATCCCCGCCCCGATCGGCCCCGCCCCTCGCCCCGCCCCCTCCCGCTCGCCATTCCCGGCGCTCCCGCTCCCATTCCCGGCGCTCCCGCTCGCCGTTCCCAGCACATCCTCGGTCTTGGCCTCTCTCGGCGGCGCGGCGGCAGCAACGGCCCGCCGCCCCCGCCTGCCCTGCGATCCGTACTGGCCGCCGGCCGGAGATTTCCAAGCGGTTCCTTTACGGACCGTCCCATGTGAGGCACGGGGAGGGATCTCGAAGCGTCCCGCTGTTCCGGCTTGGAAGTAGCTGCAGATGTTTTAAATTACTTTATCAGGAGAGTTTCAGACGGAATTTGTCCGCTTTGGAATGGGTGGCACAGGGTGACTTCACCGCGGCCAAAAATGAGGTGACTGCCGGCATCACCGGCACGGGTGGGATTTCACTGTCAGAGGTCATTCCAGCCTGTGAGCTGGGGAGCATTCCCTATGGACACATCGCCAGGGCCATGCTGGGCAATGTTTGTGGGTGCCCTGGGAAGGTCGAGGCTGCGTGGCTGCCCAGATCCCTTCCAGTCTCTGAAAACACACGGAGTTATCGAGTCCTGGAACGGCGATGGGTTCTCCCTGTGGGTGCTGGGGTGTAGGTGATGAGAGCTGGCACAGGCTGAACTGTGCACTCATGGCAACAGTCACAGGAAAAGGTTTCTGGCTTGAATCAGCAAAACGAAAGACCCGTTGAAATGGATTAAAAATGCTTTAAAAATATTAGATTTAATAGGACTTCAAAGCCTATGGAAGCTGTCCTGCCTCTTGAGGGGACTGGAAATGGATGTGTGAGAGAACATGAAGCATCCCCAGTCAAATGGAAAAACATCCCTAAATAGAAATTGCATTCTTTCTACCCCCCACCTCCCCCCTCATTGCCTCAAATTGCCGTTCAAGGATCCCCAAATCCCAAGTGCTGGAGAGGATTTGGGTGGGCTGACTTCAGATCCCTCTGCCTCTGGGCTGCTTAGACCTTGTGGAGTTAACCCTGCTGTGTTGGTCTGTCCTGCCCATCACCTGCCCCGCCCACTCTTCCCCTAGCCTGGGGGCAACATCCCAGTGGAATGACTTCCTCATATGTTGAACAGGCAAATTACCCCAACCCCACCCTCAGGAACCACCATGAGGTTGTGCTGTGCTGAAGGAGCCAGAGGACGAGTGCTGCAGCCTGCTGAGCTGCCGGGGAAGGGCAAAAAGGGTCCTTTGATGCAGAACTATGAGCTGTGCTGCCCAGCTTTGGCCGGGGCAATATCCTGGATCAGTATGAAAACATGCCCAACACTTTGCCATCCTTCACCATGAAGATTTGATGGCAGCCTTTGCTAAATATCCCTCTCTGTCATCTGCTGTCGCAGAGTTTTGCTGCCCCAGGGAATTCTCCCAGCAGCACAACCCAAAATCCCTTTGGCAGACAGGGGTGCTCAGGTATGGTGACCAAACTTCACCTGGAACAGGAGCAGACCGGCTGCCTCCCCTCACACAGCTGGCCACACGGGTGAGGACCTAAATCCCACCTGCCTTGTCCCCTCCAAGTGTCACATCCCCATTGGCACAGCAGAGAGCAGTCCCTGCCTTGACGTCACTGCCCTCAGGGACTCACTAGGCTTTGCTCCCTTCCCAAGGCTCTTCCAGGGGATTCAAGCCTGGGGGTGTCTGCCTGTGAGGAGGGTTGTCTCGACCCCAGACCCTGAGCGGCACCAGGCCGGAGGGAAGATGCCGTGGAGGCTCCAGTGGTGCATGGCCAGGATGGTGGGCAGGGGCCATGGGGGTCACCCCTGCGAGTAGAAAGGGGGACAGCCAGGCAGCCGAGGGGCTCAGCCCAGGGGAGAGGGGGACACATTCTCAGGGACACTCTCCGGCCGCGCCAGCAAAGGAGTGAGCACAATCTGGTGTCTGTGCACCCCTGTGGAGGCAGAGGGAGGGGGGATGCCGGGCCCTCTGCTCTGCCTCAGACATTCCTCTCCCTTCCTTTGTGCTGCAGGAAATCTGTGCTTCCTCCCTTCCCAGCACTGCTGCCGCCTCAATCACTACCAGATGTGAGTCCCATGCGCTCCTCATTAGCCTGGCAGCTCTGGGCGCTGCCTGTGCATCCTGCAGGGTTGGGGATTCAAAGGCTGGGATTTTGGGGGTCCTGGGGAAGGGAACTGAGCTGGCATGTGCTCCATGAGGTACCCGGCCCTGGTTTGCACAGGGATCATTGCTGGGCCAGGATGCTGGTGGGGATGTTGGGCGGAGTAAGAGGGGCTGGAGAAGAGCCCAGTGGGACCTGCACATGGTTCCACCACATCATCCTGCTCCAGCTGTCTCTGGCCAATGTGCATGGAGTGCTGTGCCCTGCCAGGCAGGATGAGGCCACATGCTCATGGCCATGGGAGCTCTGAGTGGGAGAACAGGATGGTCCTTACCTTGGCACAAAGGAATCTTTGGCTGATCCTGTCCTGCTGCTGCTTCCTGAGCCCTCAAACCAGCCACATGGCTTTCCTCACGCTGCTGGTGCAGAGGAGGGTGGGCAGAAGAGGAATGAGAAGACTTCATGGGATGCAGCCTGTGACCTGGTGTGGGATGAGCAGGGTCATCCAGAGGGCCAAAGGATTCGGTATCGCACTGGAACCACTTGCCTTGGCCCTAAACAAAGGGCTGGGTTCAGGCTTCTTACACTCACCTGCATGGAAAATATCTCCCAGGATGGAGAGATCTGCAAAGATGTCCACTGCCTGTTTAGGGAAGGGATGCCTCAATGCCCCTTTCCTGCAGCAGGCACATTTGCACACTCAGAAATGCTGGAAAACAGCATTTTTAGGGCCTTGCTGGATCCTGAGTTGAGCAGAGATGGCAACAGGAGTGGGGTGTGCACAGAGCACAGTGCACCAGGGCACACTGCCACAAGAAATAATCCTCCAGAGAACCCTGAATGCACATCTGTCCGCAGGAGACGGCTGTCCAAGCTTGGAGTCCCTGTGGGAGAACCGCCATGTCACCACGGCTCTGAATCACTGCTGCAGAGCCCTGAGCACCTCCACAGCCTTTGGGGAGAGTGGTATCACTGGGCAGCCAGCTGTCACTGAAAGAGGCCACTGCACTGCTGATTGCACCAAACATGGCTTTACTGCCTTTACTGTGGAGTCAGGGACAAGTCAGGATCATCTGATGCCTGGGAGCTGATGAGCATGCCACCAGTGGCTCTGCTCTCTATGGCACGTGCCAGAGCTGATGACTCGACAGCAGCTCAGCCCGAGCCATGGTGCCCTCAGCCCAAACCCAAGCCAGTCAGTCCCTGGCTGAGGGATGGAGCCAGGGTGCTCCTGGAGCAGCAACCCCCCACAGGGCTAGGTCTGGGGGACTCCTATTCCCAAGGGCTGGATCTGTCTCTCCTCAGCTGGCTTGGCTTGGATGGTTTCCCCAGGTCTCCTCCAGCTCCTCTTTGGATCCTCCAAGAGTGTACTAGTTCTCTGCAGCCCCCTGCTACAGCAGCAGCCCCCTGACTCTGCTCTGCAATGGGTGCATAGTCACCCACCACAGAGGCTTTGCTACCCATCCCCAGTTCCCCTCTCCTTTTTCAAGCCATTGTAAGCTTGTGTGGGCCCTCAGCCACATCCCCCAGGTGAAGGGAGCGCATGGCTGGGACCACCAAAGCCTCAGCCTTGGGCTCACTGGATTTATTTCAATTTAAACACTGTGGAGTAAAAGTGTTTCCCCTGCTCTGGCCTCTGGAGCTGAATATCTGAGTGGGAATTTCACCCCTGAGCTGCAACTAAAATAAGATCTGGATTGAGGTGGTTGCTGACTCTCAGTGGTGCTAGGTAAAGCCTCCGTGCTCTCTTCCCGGCTTGGCTGGGGGTGTGGCTGGGGGTGTGGCTGGGAGAGCAAGGGCTACTGGGCTGGAAGAGCTCGGCTTGACCTGCTGTGAGGAGCATGCATTGTTACCACATGTTGGAGAACATGTCCAGGCTTTGGCTGTCTGGGATGAGCTCCTTGGGAACTCAGAGGAGATGCTGCTCACACACATCCTGACTGTACAACCTTCCTTGGGATAGGACATGGATGCTCAGCCAGGGCAAATTCATGTTGGTTGTGGCTCAGCATCCCACAAACATCCCGTGTCTTCATTACCTGCAGAGAGAGGGGTGTCAGGTCTGTTTGAGGTGGAGTGATGGGTCTTTACCACCCTGTGGACAACAGCCCTGCCTGGAGAGCCTGAGCAAGGGCCAGGAGCTGCTTCCCTGGGACATGCTGGAGGGGCTCCCAGATGACTGGTGTGGGTGTTCCCAGGTCAGTGCGTGGGGCTTTGTAACCAAGAATGAGCTGTGAAGAGACAGAAGTGTGTGGGCTTGGCTGGGAGTTGTGTGCAGGGGCCATGGGCTGCAAGGGGTGAGAGAGTGCAGAGGATGTATGGGATGCAAGGGACACAGCAGGCTGCAAGGGATGCAAAGGATGTAGTGGGATAAAAGGGATTCAGTGGGCTGCAAAGGATGCAAGAGATGTAAAGGATGCAGTGGCCTGCAAGGGCTGCAAAGGCTGCAGTAGGCTATAAAGAATGCAAGGCATGCAAGGAGGCTGCAAGGGATACAGGGAGTGCAACAGGATGTAAGGGGTGCTACGGATGTAAGGGATCCAAGGGATGCAAGAGTTGCAGTGAGCTGCAAGGGATGTGAAGGCTGTGATGGGATGCAGGGATGCAGCAGCCTGCAGCCAGTCCCTTCCATCCCTTGGCTGGGGCTGCCCAGTTGCCATCCATGCCCATCTATGTCAGCAGCCTGACTTTGGCCAGGGGCAGTGACCCCAACTCGTGGGTCCTGAGGACCACTTGAGCAGTGCAAAGCTGCAGGCTGCTCTCCCTTGCCCTGAGGGGGACCAAACTCCAATGAGGCAGCTGTGACTCCTCTCCTGCAGACAAGGCACCCATTTAGCCCCATGCCC